TTGGATTTTTTTCTGAATCACCTTCTAGATATCTTATTATTTTGGCTACTTCCTCTTGATTTACTTTCCCCTGTTTATCTATAATTCGTTTGGCTATTTCTCGTTCCAACTCATCTTGGGTTGATTGAGAAAAAGAATAATTATCTGCTAATCATCCATCATTGTCGTTGTTCTCATTCGTTTGTTCTTTACTTCGAAGCCTTTCTTGTGATTGCGAGAAAGAAATGTAACTATTGAGATTTTTGCTTTTATTATCTAAATTAGAAGGAGTTAAGTTATTAGTAATGATTTCGGATTTATCTCTTTTGACTAATTTCGATTGCCGTACTTTAACTTTCATTGTCGATTTTTGTTCAAACTGAAGTTGAAACCTTGTTGTTTTATCTTGTAATTGACAAAAAGTTTCTATCGTTTGCAAAAGCCATGATTTACCATTATCACTTATGTATTCAAGTGCTTCTTTTTTAGTTTCTTCTAGAGCATTTTGAATAATGAAGATACTTTCCCAGTCACTTTCCATAGCAGATAACCTTGTTAATTGCTTTTGAATTTCCAGAATCTTTTCCATTTTCTCTTTTAGTTCTTGTCCGGACTGACTTGTAGGACTAATGCTCTTCATTATATTTGAAACTTCTTCCATTCTGTTGTCCGGTTCAATTATTTTTTTGTTAGTCATATCAATCACTAATTCTTTACTTTTAGTTTCCTTTGCTTTAAATCCTATTTTAACTATATGAATAGGGCAATTAATATTATCTTGACTTGGCACCAAGATAGCAAATTTCCCGCTATTTTTCCACTTCTCTTCATTAGGTATTACTAAAACGTCGCCTTCTTTTATTAATTTAAGCGTTTCTGCAAGTTCACGTTGATTAGAAAGCAAAAAACGATTACCATCTAATGTTTCTAGAACTGGTATCGATTCTAAGTCACCAAAATTAAAATGGTCTATTACATGTAAAGAACCAACCAATTTGACACTATTTTCGGCGAACTCTATATCCCCTTCTTCTCAAAAAATATTTAAACCGTTTTCTTTTAAATTAGTTGAACCATCTTCATCTATTTCTGGTATCCAACATAATTTAGGTTCCCTCCTTCTCGGCCCAAACCATGCTAAGGGTTCAATATAACCATTCTCAACAGCCACTTTTGTAACTCCTAATAAAGCTTCTTCTAATTCTGATTTAGAGTAACTTTCACCTCATTTCTTATATTTAGTAACTACCTGATTGCCATAAGGCAACAAACCTAAAATAGAATAAATACC